CGCGCGCGAGGACGCGCGCGAGGACGACGACGACGACGGCGACGGCGACGCGATCGCGGGCGCGCGCGGCGTCGGGTCGAGGGACATGTGCGTGCGACGCGACGAAGGAATGGGTGCGCGAGTGGTGGCGAAGGAATCGTGATGACGGGGCGACGCCACGCGATGCGCGCGCGAACGGAGACGACGACGCGACGACTGACGCGGCGAACGTTCCTCCGTCCGTCAGCACGACGAGCGGGACGTTCACGGTGGATGAGTTTAAGTTGAACGCGCGAGGCGCGGTGGTGGCGGATGGACGAAGCGACGGCGGGCGCGATCGGGACGACGCGCGGGCGCGAGACGCGAGCGCGTCGGTGAGCGAGAGCGAGTGCGGGGAGAGAGATGGGTTCATTTTGGGCGCGGCGGATCTGGAGTTGGTGGGGGTGATCGGAACTGGGAGCGGCGGCGTCGTGCGCTTGGCGACGCATAAGCGCACGGGCGAGGCGTTGGCGGTGAAGACGATTGCGATTTCGCTGGCGAGGGACGAGAATGAACGGAAGCGGATCGTCACCGAACTGCGAACGCTGCATAAGAGCGAGTGCGATTACATCGTGCGAAGCTCGGGGGCGTACTTCGATCGGGGGAGCGTGAGTTTGGTGATGGAGTACATGGACGGCGGGACGATGAGCGACGCGACGAAATATCTTGGGAAATGGGTGGAACAGGATCTCGCCGCCGCGACGTCCATGCTCGCCGATGGTTTACACTATTTGCACACGAAATTGAATGTGGTGCATCGAGACATCAAGCCGTGTAACGTGTTGCTCAATCTGCGCGGCGAGGCCAAGTTGAGCGATTTCGGCGTCAGCGGACACCTCACCGACGCGAGTAAGTGCCACTCGTGGGTGGGGACGGTGACGTACATGTCGCCCGAACGCATTCAGGGCGAATCGTACGAGTACACCGCTGATGTGTGGAGTTTCGCGCTCACGATGGTGGAGTGCGCGCTCGGGCGCTTTCCGTACAATCCGCCCGACGTCTCGAGACGACTCGTCTTCTGGGATCTCCTCGATATCGTAGTTCAGGACCCCGTCCCAAATCTACGACCCGAGCTCGACGTCTCGGATGAATTCGACAATTTCGTCGCCCTCGGGCTCAACAAGGACCCCACGGGTCGCATGCTGACGAAGAACATGATCGCGCACCCATGGATTTTTGGCCGTGACCGCGCGAGCGATAAGCGCCGCATCGCCGCCCTCGCCGCGCGCCACTTAGATGCTCGCTCCAAGGCGCGCGAACGAGGCGAGAAGTAATTCGATGACGCACATCTTAGTCTTCCGTCGAACGTCCGATCGAACGATATTCCTCGATGTCGCTCCAGCCTCCAACCGTCGCGTCCGCAGAAGTCGACTCGCCATGCGTCTCGAACTCCTCACCGGCGCCGCGGATCCGTCGTCCACCGCCCCAGATGGAGTGTCTCAAGCCCTGGACGACGCACGCGACGCGATCGCGACGCGAGACGTTCGAAGAGCGCTCGTCGCGTACGTTTTCATCGCCGAGCGAAGATTCAGTGGAATCGTCTTTGAGTCTCGTCGAGCCCTCGAGCTCGCGTTAGACGCGCTCGCGCTCGCGAGCGCTGTGGTGTCAAACGTCCATGCCTCGCTCGTCGAACGCGTGGCGGCGGCGGAGCTTGGGGGATGCGCCGCGCGCGTCGTCGGCGCGTGCGCGAGGAGTCGGCGGTTCGCTCGGGACGTCGTCGGCGTCGCGCACGCGATAGCGGTGACGTCGGCGTTCGCTTCCACGGCGACGACGCACGAAGAGTTACGTACCAGGGCGCCGAGGGCGGTGACGTCGAGCGCGCTGGCGCTGATGTCGATCGGAAGTAAGGCGGCGACGCGCGCGGTGGCGGCGCAGAGCGGAGACCTCGGATTTTACGCGTTTGAGACGCCGAGTGCGGCGATGGATCTCGCGCACGCGATCGCGTACGGAGTGTTAGCGAACGATGTCGATGCGGTAATAGCGATGTTGGTGGCGTGGGAGCGACCCTTGGATGCTGGAGACGAGTACGCGCGCGAGAGAGTGACCGCGCTGGGCGGCGGATCGATGAGACGAGTGTTGGAGAACGTCATCGCGTCCGGTGAGTTGTCGAAAGACGCGGTCCAAGAGTTGTTGATTAAGTCTGCGAGCGATGGCAAGACGGGGGGCGTGTACGTGTTGGCGGCGATTTATCGAGCGAGCGTCGTGTTGAAGGACGCGGAGACGACACGGATGTGCGCCAACGAGCTCCTAGAATTGGCGCGAGCGATGGAGGCGTGGATAGGCATGCGTGAGCGAGACGTCGCGCTCGAGGCGCGGGCACTCGCGTGCGTGACGGCGATATCCGCGTGCGTCGACGTGGACGCGACGAGCGGGCCTTTACAACCTGTATGCACTCTCATTCTACGCGCATCGTGCAAAGCCTTCGCGTTGGCTCACGACTGCCTCCTCCAGTCATTCGCACGAGGACGAACGCCACAAGAGGCTTCGCGGATACTCCAGGATCTCGTTACGTCACCAGTCTACTTGAATGCCGATTTCATAGCCCAGGCGGTGTCAAGAGAAGGAAGGCTTGACGCACATCAGGCGATTTCAGCGCTCATAGATTTCAGCGCGTACTGGTACGCCACTGCGCGAGATCTCGCATCGCCGGAAAGAGCTGCGTGGTTTGGTGATTTGGACGCCACCGCAATCTTACCGGCTCGTGCGGTCGTTCACGAGTTCGTTATCATCGCCCTGAAGAATATCTTGTCCGTCGGCAGTCTCGAAGCGCATTTCACACAAACCATGACGGTGCTGTCTTACATCGAGTTTTCGCGGGCGGCGAGCGTGGAGTACGCACAGGTTCTCGGTGCGATCGCTAACGCGCTCGGTGGCCTCATCCCGGGCGGCGATGGTGCGTTGGCTCTAGCCTTTGTCGACGCATTGCCCGTGCTGGAGGGGGACGCGTGGCACGAAGATGAAATGCTTGCTTCACGAATTCATTTGGCGCTAAGACTTCTTCCATTCACAATCTCGAAGTTATCCGTGGGTACGTTGTTGGAACGCGTGCTTCCATACGTCCGTGCGTGCTGTGATCACGCGATTAGCCACGTCGTCAAGGCGGCGCACGTGGCATACGTATCGATTTTCCACGCTCATCCAGAACTGAACGATCGACTGTTCCCTGAATATCTTAACATGGCGCTCGAAAGATATCCCACATCGACGCCGTTGGAACCACTCATCGCGGCCGTGGGTTTAGCGACGAGGTTCGGTGAACCGGGGAGTCGTATCGCGCTCCATATCGCTAACGAGCTTTCCGGAAAGGTGAAGAGCATGGATGCGATGCCGACGCCAGTTGGATCGACCGATCCGCCGGTGGAGCCTCTGAGACGATTATTATTTCAGCTCGTCACTCTCGTGGACTTTCCACTTATACCAGCGATCCAAGATATTCTTCAAGACACCGTTCTCGACGGTGCGGATGCACAAACGCGTTCGAGGCGACATCAGACGCTGGCGTACACCGTGATGCGGTGTCCCGATTACGCAAGGAAACCGCTGATGGTCGATTGGGTGTTGCGAATGTCGAGCAAACTGTAGCAAACATAGGATTCTTAGTTTTGTATAGCACGAGCGTGGTAGACGCAGGCTGAACGTTGCATCTCCTCCATCGTATTAATACGAGAAAAAAAATGTACGATTACATCGATCGAGTAACGCTTCAAAGCGCGAAGGGATTAGGGAGAACCTTGCGAACGTCCTCGAAGAATCCAACGGGGTCACTTTGGAGCTTTTCGACGCCCTGCTGCACCCACTTTGACCCGATCTTCATGCGCTGCTCGTCTGTGGGCATGCGGTAGAGATACGCGAGACGGCGAAGCGCCGCCGCGGCCGGGCCTTCGAGCGTGATGTCGCCGACTGGGAACGCCACGGCGGCATCGAGCTCGCCGAGCACCATCATGTCACCGAGGTGTTGGTATCGAAACGGAAGAGCTGTTCTACCGTTCATGGATGCCCAAATGTTCCACGCGGCGTAATCGGCTTGCTGGAAGGCCACCTGCGCGGTGGATGGCAATTCGTTCCAGCTTGCGTTCATGACTTCCGCTGAGCTAGAGGACGCGTCACCGACCGCGTACACGCGCGAGTGGCCGTTCACGCGAAGTGTCGCGTCCGTCTTGATCTTGCGCGCGCCCGTCGTCGCCACTGGCCACTCCTTCGGCGTCTCCGCGCGCTGGCCAATGGTCCAGCACACTATGTCGTAAACCTCGTCGCGTTCTTCGCCGATCTCGTCCGCCAATCGAACGCTCGCCGCGGTGCTCACCGCGTCGATGTCGTTGACGTCACTCAAACGAAGCACGCGTCCGCTCACGACGTTCACGCCCGCCTTTTCGAGCACCCTGGTTGCCGCCTCGCGTTGGCCCACCGGGGCGCTCGACATCACGCGCCCGTTCGGGGTGATCACGTCCACCGAACCACCACTCGGCGAGGCGTTCAATCGCTCGGCGACGACAGACGCGAGCTCGACGCCCGACAACCCGCCGCCGACGACGGCGACGCGCGCCCGTCGACCCGCCGCCGCGGCCTCGCCCAACGCGCTCGAAATCTTCATCGCGTCCTCCGCCCCGTTCAGCGCGATCGCGCGCTCTCTCGCCCCTTCGACCCCTCCATCGTTCGTCGCCGTCCCGAGCGCCAAGACAAGATAATCGTACGTCAAACTCGTCCCGTCCGCCAACGTGCACGTTCCGCCCGACGAACTACACGGCGTCCCGTCTCGCGTCTCGCTCAACCCATCCGGCTCGAATCCGCGCACCGTCCCTCGCACGTGTCTCACCCCGGTCGGTCTCAGCAGTTCTTCGAACGTCGGCGCCACCTCGTCTCGCGTCATCGTCTCGTTCACCAGCTCGTACAGCAACGGTTTGAACGCGAACGCGTCCCCGCGGTCGACCACCACCACCTCCGGCTTCGTCGTCCTCGTCCAGTCCAATCGCTCGAGCCTGAGCGCGGTGTAGAGCCCACCGAAACCACCGCCGAGGACGACCACGCGCGGCGTCGACGCGCCGTCATCCATTGTCGCTGACGTCATCGCGCTGCGAATCCTTCGCCGACGCCCTCGCGCCGTCGTCGCCGCGCGCGCCCGCCCGCGCGCGCCGACGCGCGCCGTCGTCGCCGCGCCCATCGTTTCCTTCCCGCGCGCGCGCTCGATCGTCGAGCGCGGCGCCGTGGACGCGCGAGATGACACGTCAAAGAATGACGTCGCGGCGTCCCGGGACTCGCGCCCATCGAGCCGGACGACGCGCTCGCGCGCGTGCGCGTCGAGGGGGTTCACGTAAAGGTGTGAAGATGGATACCGGCGCTCGACGGCGCATCGACGCCCTTCGCGGCCGAAGACGGTCGCGTACAATTACACTCGCGCGACGCGCGAATCGCTACGACTCGCGCATTCGCGGCGCGCCGTCACTCCCAGCGACGTACAGAATCTGCGTCTCATCCTTCAAGATGTGCCTGAAGCAAAACTTCGCGCACGCCATCGGTCGTTCGTCGCATCCGTCATCGCCGCACGCCGCGGCCTCGCCCGCGGCTTCGCGTCTCGCGTTCGCCTTCTCCTCCGCGTCCCTCGATCCCGCGTGACCCCGTCGCACCTCAAACCTCCGATGCTTCGTTCGTAACGCATCCAACAATCGCCAGTACTGATCCCGATACATCTTTCGCAGCTCCTTCATCTTTCGCAGCCGCCGCTCCACGAGCGCGCGCTGCGTCGTCGCGTCCTCTTCCTCTTCGCCCGCCTCGAGCGCGTCCACGCCCGCGTCCCCCTCGCCCGCGTCGCTCGCCGGCGCATCGCTCTCGAGACCTAATCGCGCGCGTAATCGCGCGCGCCTCGCGGCGTCGACGTCGACGTCGACGTCGACGTTCGCGTCGAGCGTCATGATTCGTTCGATGCAGAATGCAACAATCGCGCCTCTGCGCCCCGCCTCTCGCCGCGCGCGACGCGTCGATGCGTGCGCGCGCGCGTCGGCGCGATGGACACCCCCTCGCGGTGCTTCACCTTCGATGACGCGATGGAGACCACGCGCGTCGGTGAATGCGGCGTCAGTCTTCGTCGCATGAACCTCTCGGTCGCGTCGCGCTTTTCGGCGACGGCGACGCGCAATCGGTGCGCTCGACGCCGTGACCCGACGCGCGCGCGTCGGTCGATTCGTGTACGAGCGTCGAGCGTCGGGTTAGACCTCGAGAGCGCGCTGCAACGCGCGCGAGACGCCCTCGATGCGAATGATTCTCGATCGTACACTCTCTGGGGTCGAGGCCAACATCTCGGTTTGCCCGCGCTGTGGTGCCTGCGAACGGACGATGAGGCGTTCGTCGAGGAGACGATGAACGCTGAGTTGTGTTACGTCAGTGGACGATCGCGCGGACGAGAGGGGAGCTGCTGGGAGGTTGATTTCAGCGGGTACGCGCAACGGTTGGAACTCGACGACGCGGAGGCGGCGACGCTCGGCGCGTGGACGCGAAGTGGGTTCTGGGCGACTCGGCAGTGCGCAAACGAGATGTTGGAAATGGAGTTGCTCGATGACGGGCGTGAAGGCGGAGTGTGTAAGATCGAGATGCGATTACGGAGGGGCGGACGGGTGCGAGGGGAGTTGGAGCTGGACGCTTCGACGTGGAAGCCTCGAAGGTTGCGAGTGGCGGTGTGCGGGGATGAAGACGAGTGGACGTTTGAGGATTGGACGCGTGATGCGACGAGTGGGTTGCCTTACCCGCGGACGACGCGCTTGCGCGGGGCGAACGGGGGAATACAAGAGTTCATCGTCACGGGTGCGGCGGTTGGACGGAACAAGGAGGGACGCGGGATGTTCGAGAAACCGACGAACGAGAAGCCACCGACGGTGAATTTCGACTCGAGCGCGGCTCCGGATATTCCCGTGCTTCGCGCTGGTTCGTCGCACGTGCTAGTGGAGCCGATGATCGATGGTGAGAGCGTCGGTTCGTTCATACTGGACACGGGCGCGAGCGGGCTCGTCATCACGCCGAAGGCGGCGCAAACGCTCGGTCTTCGCGCGTTTGGTGAGGTACACGTATCGGGCGTATCTGGACGCGTACCGTGCCAATTTCGTCGTGGGAAGGATCTAAAACTCGGTCCGCTCACTCTAAAGAAGCCGGTATTCATGGAGATGCGACTAGACGGGATCGTTACCAAGCCACCGAAACCCGTGGCGGGAATCATCGGTTTCGACGCTTTCAAGAGCGCCATTTTGATCGTCTCCGAGGAAGGTAGACGGGTGCAGATTTATGATGCCGACGACAAGAGCGCGATCGACGAGAGTTGGGCGTGGCAAGAGCTTCGACTCGTGTCTAATGTGCCGCACGTCGCGGCGACGTTTTCGGGAGTCAACGACTCACAAAAGTTGGAGCCAAATATTTTCATGATTGACAGCGGTGCCGGGGGCGCGGATGTAATCTTCCACGCCAAGGCGGTGAAAGATCTTGGTTTGACCGAGTTGTTGGGCCCCGAAGGTGGGCGGATATCGAGTCGAGTGCGAGGCGTTAGCGGCGCCGACGGCGCGGGCTCATCCACGTTGACGTACAGGACAACGATGGATTGGTTACAGCTCGCGAGCGCCGATGCGAATGGGACGACCGTTCGCTTCGACGAAATAGACACGTTGCTAGCCTCTGGTGAGGGGTTCAGTCTCTCTGAGCACAGCTGCGGGATGATATGTGCGACGCTGTTGCGCAAGAAGAGAATTGTTTACGACGTGCCCCGAAGACGCATCGCCTTCGTAGATGAGTAGTATTTTTGTGATTTACGGTAGTATAGCATATTTCCCTACACCTCTGGAACCTGAGGCAGATTTATAATTTTATCTACGGCCGTCTTTGCGTCCATGTCTCCATCCAAGATGCACGCGACCGCGGTGAGCACGGGCAGATTCACGCGATGCCTCCTCGCCAATCGGACCACCGCGCCAGCCGTCGCTACCCCCTCAGCAACCTGGCTCATCGACCCTAATATTTCCTCTAATGATTCACCGGATCCGAGACGAACACCGACCGTGCGGTTTCGGCTGAGATTGACGAAGCACGTTAGCATGATGTCCCCGGTTCCGCTCACGCCTGCGAGCGTCTCCGGACGAGCGCCCAATTTCCCCGCAAGCCAGCGAATTTCAGTGACACCCTGCGCGACGAGCGAGGCCATGGCATTGTTCCCGAGCTCCAGCCCCTCTACGATCCCGGCCGCGATTGCCAGGACGTTTTTCATCGCGCCCGAGAGCTCGACGCCCGTGACGTCCGTGCTCGTGTTCACGCGCAGGCACGAAGAGCCAAAGAGTTGTTGTACTCGGATGGCCAAACCCTCGTCTTCACTCGCGGCGACGATGGTCGTGGGAAGCCCTTGCATGAGCTCCACCGCAAACGTCGGCCCGGAGAGCACCGCTAACGGTTGATCGCGCCCTAAACCCGCGGGTATAATCTCGCTCATCATCTCGCACGTCCCCGTCTCCAACCCCTTGCTCAGGCACAGCAGCGGCGTCTTTGGATCGATAAAATCCTTAACCCCCGACAAGAACGCTCGCGATTGCTGCACTGGCACGGCGTGAATGATGAAATCGCTCCCCGAAAGCGCCTCCCGCGCGTCCGTCGTCGCCCGAATGTTCACCGGCAAGTCGTACTTTGGCAAGTACTTCAAGTTTCTGTGCTCCGCGTTCAGCGACGCCGCGTCTTTATCGCTCCGCATCAGGATCACCACGTCCAAATCCCCCTTGTTACGCGCCAACAACGTCGCCATCGCCGTCCCAAAGCTTCCTCCGCCCATGATGGCCACTTTTTTCGCGCTTTTCAGGACGCTCTCGTCGTTTCTCGCGTGCGCGCTCTCGACGAACGCCGCCCACCGCATGATCTTATCCCACTCTCCCACGATCGACGCGCGGTCTTCCTCGCTCACGCCAGCCTTGAACGCCTCGTACGCGCCCGCGTGCGTGCGCGTTCGCCGTCCGCGTCCGTCCTCCCCTCGCGTCCGGCGCGTCGCGGATACCGTCGTCGCCGCCGCGCCGTCGCGGCGCGTCCGTCCCATCGCTCTCGTCGCGCTCGCACCGCGCGGCGCTCGCGTCGCGACGCGCGCGCGGGCGCCGGACGGCATCCATCGCGCACCGCTCGCGGGCATCGCCCTCGTCGTCGAAGCGCCGTCGCGTGCGGGGCGTCGTCGTCGTCGTCGTCGTCGTCGCGCGATGGCTCAACGAAACCCCGTACGTATGCGACAGAAACTAGGGTTGAGCATTTGAACCGTCCAATCGCCCGATCGCCCGATCGCCCGATCGCTCGACGACGCCGACGACGACGCCGACGCCCACGCGCGATCGACACACCCGCGCGCGATGCACCCATCGGCGTCGTCCACGGTCCGAGCGCGCGTGACGCGCACGGGCGGACGCACGACGCGCGCGCGACGCGTTTTTCACGCGGCATCGCCGTCCACCGGCGCCGCGCCAGCGTGTCCGCCGAAGCGATCGGCGACGCGACCGCGCGCGTCGTCGGAGACCGAGGTCGAGACGTCGACGACGACGGCGCGATCGATGGAGGCGGCGGATGGGAGCGAAGCGGTGGCGCTGGATGAACAGCTCGCGCCGCACGTCGAGCATTTGAGATATCGTTACGCGACGTTTCGCGAACGAAAATCAGCGATCGAAGCCGCGGAGGGGTCGCTGGACGCGTTCTCCAGAGGGTACGAACGCTTCGGGTTCACCACGGACGCGAGTGGGGAGATAACGTTCCGGGAGTGGGCGCCCGCGGCGTCGCACGTGGCGCTGATCGGAGACTTTAACGATTGGAACGGCGACGCGACGCCGCTGCGTCGGAGCGAGTTCGGGACGTGGGAGGTAACGCTGCCGAAGGGGGCGATCGCGCACGGATCGCGGGTGAAGGTTCGCGTGTACAACGATCAAGGGCAGTTTGATCGCATTCCGGCGTGGATTCGAAGGGCGACGGTGGAGCCCGGGGTCATGGGCGCCGGATACGACGGCGTCTACTGGGCGCCCGAGGAAAAGTATGAGTTCAAGAACGCGAAGCCAAAGAAGCCCGTGGCGTCGAGGATTTACGAAGCGCACGTGGGAATGAGCTCGAATGATCCGAAGATTAACTCCTACAGGGAGTTCGCCGACGACGTGCTCCCGAGAGTCGCCGCGGGTGGGTACAATACGGTGCAACTCATGGCGGTGATGGAGCACGCGTATTACGGATCCTTCGGTTATCACGTCACGAATCCGTTCGCGGTTTCCTCGCGTAGCGGGACCCCGGAAGATTTGAAGTACTTGGTGGACAAGGCACACGGTCTGGGCGTTCGAGTGCTCTTGGACGTCGTGCACTCGCACGCGTCGAGCAACACGAACGACGGCATCGCCGGTTTCGACTTGGGACAACGCGACGTGGATTCCTACTTTGGCACCGGTGAAGCCGGCTACCACTGGCTGTGGGACTCCAGATTGTACAAGTACGACAACTGGGAGGTAATGCGCTACTTGCTTTCGAACTTACGATACTGGGTCGACGAATACAATTTTGACGGCTTCCGATTCGACGGCGTCACGTCCATGTTGTACCATCACCACGGATTACAAATGGAGTTTTCCGGAGACTACGAACAATACTTTTCCACGTCGACGAACGTCGACGGCGTGGTGTACTTGATGCTCGCGAACGAGTTGCTTCACTCGTTGTACCCTGAAATCGAAGTCATCGCCGAAGATGTGAGCGGGATGCCCACGCTTTGCTTGCCGGTGGATAAGGGCGGCGTCGGTTTCGACGCTCGTCTGGCGATGTCCATCCCCGACTTTTGGGTCAAGTACCTCAAAACTAAGCCGGATGAGCAATGGAGCACGTTTGAAATGGTAAGCACGCTGTGCAACCGTCGATACACAGAAAAGGCGATCGCGTATGTGGAATCGCACGACCAATCCATCGTCGGCGACAAGACGACTGCGTTTTGGTTGATGGACGCCGAGATGTATGATGGTATGTCCACGCTGAACGAACCCTCCGTCGTCATCGAGCGTGGTATCGCTCTGCACAAGATGCTTCGTCTCGTCACCGCCTCTCTCGGCGGTGAGGGCTACCTCACGTTCATGGGCAACGAGTTCGGCCATCCGGAGTGGGTGGACTTCCCGCGAGAGGGCAACGGCTGGAGCCACGATTACTGCCGTCGTCGCTGGGACTTGGCGGACGCCGATCACCTGCGTTACCAACACCTTCTCAACTTCGACAAGGGCATGCTCGCGCTCGATGATCAGTACTCCTACATCGCGGCCGCACATCAGCACGTGAGCACCGCCGACGACAACCGACAGATTCTCGTCTTTGAGCGCGGTCCGCTCGTCTTCGTGTTCAATTTCCATCCGCACCAAACGTACGAGGGATTGGAGATCGGCGTCCCAGAGCCCGGAAAGTACCAGCTCGCCTTCGACACCGACGCACGAGAGTTCGGTGGGAAGTCCCGCTGCGGTTTTTCCGTCGATCATTTCACCTCTCCGGATGGTCCCGAGTCCTGGGTCGGCCCGTACGAGCAACCGCCACGCGCGGCGAAGATGCTCGTCTTATCCCCGGCCCGAAGCGCCCAGGTCTACTTCAAGGTTCCCGAGCCCGCACCATCGGCCGAACCCTCCGTGAGCGACATCGTTCGCGAGATCGACGCCGACGCCGGCGCCGCGCGATAGAGTGAAATCCAACCCACGCGCGTTCCCACCCGTCATCCGTGCGAAGAATGTATAAAAACCTCCCATCGCGTCCCACGCGCGACGCACGCGCGCGCGTGAACGCGATGCCGACCGCGCGCGCGCGCACGACCGCGCGCGGCGCCCTC